GATAGCTGCTGGCTACATCTGCGCGCGTGCGCGCACACACACACACATATATATATAATATTTGTCTCATCTGCGCAAACGTGCACTTTCGCGCGCCTCCTGCACACACACCACCTCTTTTGGCAGGCCCTTTTCAATCATGAGTGAGTGAGTGAGTGTGTGTGAGTGTGTGTATGTGTGTGTGTGTGTGTGTGTGGGGGAAATTAATGCTGCACCTGCCACGCCACTTTCAAACCGTGTTCCATGACATGTTCCGTGACTCCCTCTTCCCCGTGTCATGTCTTCTGCAGAGCCATGCCACTTGCCAAAAAGATGTTGGTAAATGTTTGCCGAAACGATGGATGGATTCCTTCCATAGTTCTCTGGGAACGAGAAAAGAGATTGCCTTGATCTTCTCTACAAACACCTCTTTCGCCTCTTTCATGTATTTTGTCGAAACGTTAAACCATGAAACAAACAAACATCAAACAGTGGGCGACTTTCATTCTTACAGGTGCAGAAGGAAGAGGAGCAAGTTGGCTCGGTCCCTGCAGATGTGTATGGAGCATACATCCAGGCTGCAGGTGGCTGGTGCCTTGCAGTGACTGTGCTCATTGGAGTGCTTTGTGGACAAGGCTGGCAGTCCTGCGTTGCTGGATCTTTTTCTTGCTTTGTTCTGAAGAGCGTCTCTGTGAAAGTCAAAGTCTGGCAGTCCAAAAGGGTGCGCCGTGCGCTTTCTGGCCAGGTTTGCAAGCCTTGTCGGGTGGCTGGATCTCATATTGGTCAGACCACTCGAAACCTGACAATCCGCACCACATCTCAAGCCAAGTTGGACTGATCGGCTATGCAAGTCTCAGCTTGGCAGTAACTTCCCTTGCAAGTTTTTTCCTGCTCTTTGGGTAAGAACATGCATGAACTCCAGTGGGTCTCAGCCATGGTTTTGAACCCGGAAAATCCCTTGCTTTTGGAACCCCAGCAGCTCGCACAAGAATACTTATTGTGTTTGGGACCAACATGACACCAGATCAGGCATTCTGTGGCATTTTCCTCACCAGCGCCTTGTTCCGACTGACAGCTCTGAAGGCGGCCCGATCCTTTCATCGGAAGTTGCTGTCGACAGTGCTCCGGCTGCCGATGACCTTCTTTGATACGACACCATTGGGGCGGGTCCTGAATCGATTTTCCAAGGACATTTACACCATTGATGAGGTTCTGCAAAACATTTTGTATTCCTATTTGCAGGTGGTCTCAGTGGTCGTTTGCACCATGATTGTGATCTCAGCTGCGACGCCCTGGTTCTTGGTCGTGATTTTCCCCTTGCTGCTTGTTTACCGGGCCACACAGAATTTCTACATCCCAGCATCAAGACAATTGAAGCGAATTGAATCCAACCTGCGATCTCCTATTTTTTCTCATTTTTCGGAGACTCTGGATGGCACTGCTCTCATCCGAGCGTTTGGCCAGCAGCAGATCTTCATTTCAGAAAACATGGGCAAAGTCAGTAAGAACATGCGAGCTTACTATTCCAATTTCTCCTCCAACCGATGGTTGGCAGTCCGGTTGGAAAGCTTCGGCGCAGGGATCACATTTTGTGCAGGCACTTTAGCCGTGGTTGGGAGACATCAAATCAGCGCTGGGGTGGCTGGACTGTCCATTTCTTATGCACTTTCAATCACACAAGCACTGAATTGGGTGGTGCGCATGGCCGCCGACCGTGAGACCAGTATCGTCTCAGTGGAGCGGGTCCGTGAGTACCTGCGCCTAGAGCTCGAGCCGCCGCATCATTGTGAGAATGATCCGGCACCCAACTCATGGCCCACGAGTGGGAGCATTGAGTTTCAAAAATGTCTTTTTGCGCTACCGACCTGAGCTGCCCACGGTGTTGAATGGTTTGAGTCTTGAGATTCGATCGAGGGAGAAGATTGGAATTTGTGGAAGGACCGGCGCCGGAAAGTCTTCGGTGCTGAATTTACTTTTGAGAATTGTCGAGGCAGAATCTGGCTGTGTGAAAGTGGATGGTCTCGATATCAAGACTTTGGGCTTGCACCGTTTGCGGCACAGCATCACCGTGATACCTCAAGATCCAGTGCTCTTCTCTGGTACTCTCCGCTTCAATCTGGACCCTTTGAACAAAGCAGCTGATGGGGGACAGTATTGGCAGGCTCTTCAACGCTCCCACCTCTCAGATCATGTTGCTCGCTTAGAAAGAGAGAATGCCGAGGACGAAGGAGGTAGATCCAATGGCCTTGAGGTCTTTGTGCAAGAGCAAGGGAAGAACTTCTCTTTAGGACAACGCCAGCAGATGTGTCTTGCAAGGGCCTTGATGCGATCAAATCTCATTTTGTTGCTCGATGAGGCAACCTCAGCAGTTGACAGGGAGACCGATGATTTGATCCAGCAAACCATCAAAGAGGAGTTTGCCGATCACACCGTCTTGTGCATCGCTCATCGCATTTCAACCATCATGAACTCTGACCGAGTCTGTGTATTGGATGCCGGGAAACTGGCCGAGATCGGAGCGCCGGCAGATCTCATGCAGGTGAACCACGATTTGCTTCAGAAATTGTGACAAACGACACCCTGAGAGCTTCAATTTGAGAGGTTCTGGGAGGGATCCTACTGTAAAATACTGTATGTATATATTTAAATACATTTGTAATTTTGTAGATGTATACATGTTACATACTACTTAATGTTTAAAGGTTGTTTGGGTAAAGTGAGCCAATCCGACCAATTCTTTGGTTAACATCCAAAGAGCCACCCACAGAATCAACATGGTACTCATAGCAGTCATAGCATAGTCCCATCCACAAATTCAGTGGAGTTTGCGCACGGATCATGTCATGGACCCAGCTCTGATGCAAATCCAAGGCGAAGGACTCTCGCTTTGCCCAGCTTGCAGCACTGGACGCCGCATAGTGCTGCATAGCTATCATAGTCTACATAGTAGTACAGAGCACAGTCGGACAGCGGGTCCAAGACAAAAGAGGCTGACATCGGGAACCCTTTCGGTTTCTTGCAGCAAGAAAGAGCATTGAAGACGCCAGAAGACAACCAGTTTCAACATTGTGGTTCGATACCATCACACTTCCTATATTGTTTAGTCGGTTCTCGCAATTGCTTTCCTTCCTGGCTCAGACACGTGGAGAGTGAGAATGTCAAGTCGTGCCATTGGACCCTCTCACGCAGAGCCTCACAGATTCTCACACTCTCAACGTCAAAGTGATGTGAACAAGGCAACAAACCACGAATCCTTTGAGTCGCTTTTGACCCATTACACTAGTACCCTACTACCCACAGACCTGGTTTTTGATTCAACCCTCGCGTGGCGGATTGAGTGTATTGAAGCTGATGCTGGCTTCACTGACCACTGACTTGTTGGGGCGTTGGCGATGTTTGGAGACCGGAATGGTCATCGATGTGAGAGTCACAGGGAGTTCCTTCTCCTACCGTGCTTACCATACCTCGGGAAGCTGTGTCTTTGAGATCCAAGCTGATCGCGGCAGGGTGAAGCTCCACCACAAGGCTGTTACGGGTGCGCCGCATTTTGTGTTGGAACCGCCCGGGGAGCAGGCCTTGCAACTCAATTGGAGGGCTCCAGCCACTGGTGAGACCCTAACATGGCAAAGACTACAACAGACCTGGAAGACCTTGCTATTGCAGCTGACTGGAGAGGTGGAGGACTTCGATCAGCAAAAGTCTGGAGGACTTCGTTTACAGGTCAGCAAGATCACCGGTGAGGTCATTTCAAGCATACGCATCGGATCTGCCCGAACCACAACTTGGCTGGATGCAAGACTGATGATGGCAGAGGGTCTGAGACCATTCCTTTGGAGGTCCAGGCTGGCCTTCATTTCCCCACAAGGGGAGCAGTTGACTCGCTTGGATGATACGAGATCGATTGCAGATGTTCTTGGTGGTCTCGCTGAGGTGAGTGAGGAGAAGAGGCGAAGTGTGGGCGGCTGAAGGAGCACAGAAGGCACCTACAGGCTAAGCCCCCAAGCTTCGCGGATTTGTGATGCCCGAGATGTGGTGTCCTATAGAGATGTGTCTCACCCAAACTTCGTCTCTATGTTTTCACAGTTCTCGTGGAAGTGAATGCCTCACCAAGTCCAGAGCGCGTAAGCTTTCCAAAGCTTATAAACTTATGAAGTGCTACACCTCAAAGTACTTGATACTTTTTGTGTTTTAGTAGCCATTCCGACAAAGATAGAACACGGCAAATTTGTTGACCTGGACTTTAGGCATCAGAGTCTGAGTAAGTCGTTCCCAGATGGAGAGGCTGCGATGGATTGCCATGGCTCCTTTTGCCAAGCTTTGCATGGCAAAAGCCCCAATTCTCGTGTCGAGGGACTGGCAACTCCGGAGGGCCTTCTGTACACGGTGGTGCAAGGTTGGCTTTCTAAGCACCGCAGCAGCACCGCAGCACTAGGCACTGCCTGCCCGCTCAGGCAACCTTTGGTGTTCATCGCATAAGCGATTCCTGGTGGGGTGGACAGATACGCGTTCAAAAAAGCTTGCCAACGGCTTTTTATGAACTTTGTCATGCCAATGGAATTTTCGTGTATTTGTTTGCTACATATCATAGTGCATCACCATGTGCCAGACTCAGGGACGTGCTGCAGACAGGTGGCTCTAGCTTGAGAAATACCACTCGTTGTTTGTTCGGGTGTAGTCCAACTGATGGGTGTGTATGAATTCACATCCCTGGCAAACGAAAAAGACGAAAAGCAACACCTGCTATGCACTAGAAGAAAAAACACCCGAGCAGACCTGATTGAATGCTCCGAATAGCCAAAGTGGCTGCAGCTTGTGGTGGCTTTACTTATGCTTCAGCCGGAGGCGGCAGAGGTGGGAAGGGGACAACCCAGGATAAGCTGTCCAGAGTTCCTTCCTTGAAAGGCAAGCCATCGGGGGATGAAGAGGGATTCATCATGACGCAGCAAAACACATGAGATCCCAGTTCAAGTCCACCTGGCTGCCCATGAAGACTTGGCGGAGATGGTTGTGTTATTTTCGAAGCGCCAATTGTTCTGCCAGGAAGCCCGGATCCGCCTTTGGCACCTGTGAAAGATGTGTCCTGGCTTAGAAGGATCCGAGCACAGGAATCCAATGCGTTAATGTGTTGGCCAGGCAGAGGACCTCCTAGATTGCCGCTCACTGAAGCTAGCTGCGAGTTGTCCAATTACCTCAGACAAGAACGCAACTTGGACTTAAGGTCATGGACACTCGATGCGGGGTGGTGAAGACTGTAGTCCTAGTTTTCTGTTGAGATCAGTAGACAAGCCTTTGTTTGGTGTTTGTGTTAGGTTTGCAGCATTCCTCGTTCCTTATTATGTTCATTCTGCATGTATCTGTATGTTCTATCGATAATCTTGGCTTGCAGGCACTGACATGTTTATGCGCTTTGTTTCTGAGGAATGTGAGGCGACCACAGTGGAATACAGTGGAATCAGATACATGTGCTATTTCACCGAGAACACTTATGGCAGCATTTCGGCCACCCTCAAGGCCAACCGTTGTGCCTCGGCTTGCAGAAGCAGGGACTACATCAGGACCCCTTCTTGTTTGGGAAGCTTTTGGCTTTTGCTGATGACACATTGGCTTTGTCAACGGATGTCATCAAACTCCCGCAGCCCAGAACAACATTTGGTCTACCCAAACTGTAAGCGTCGGCTGAGGCAATAGTTGCTCGTTTAAGGTATTGATGATAATGAATGTGTGTATATATAATGTAAGTTGACCAAGTTGTTATCATAGTTAGAATACGACTGTGACCCAATCTTGAAATTAAAAGAGGTCTCTTTGTGAGCCCCGGGGTCACAGTTTGCAACCAACTTTTGGGGCAACTTCATTTGTTCATCCTTCAATCCGTGGGCCAGGCAATGTGGACATGAACAGCAAGGTTTGTCGGCAAGTTTGGTGATGACTGCGGGCGTGTGCACGAGGTGAACAAAGATGGAGCAGACTTGTGCAATTGGTATTGTGAGTAGTGGATTGATGCTCTCGTCCTGCGTGAAGGCCTCTGACGGTTTCTGATGCTTTTGCCTCAAGCCATGGTGGCTTTCAGTCTAACTGAGAAAAGTTGAGTGACCTTACAGTTCTTGCTTTCCAGCATGCCCAGCCAAACTCCTACTCTGACACATCCACTAGCTGCAAGTCAACAAAAGCAAATTCCACCGTGGCCAAAGATCTGAATCGCGGCCATGCAGGAAGACCAATGCAGACTTTCAACATTTTTGAGCACAGTTTGACAGCTACTAGGTGTTGGCTATCGCTACTAGGAACATCTTCATACTCCTTGAGTCGCATCGAGTCAACACGATGACTCATTGAGCATCCTTTTGGGCCCACATGGGGCTGAGAACCCCAACGAGTCCTTGCTCGCCGAGCCCTTGCTCGCCAAGGACAGTACGGTTGGACGTTACTTAAGTTCTAAACATTTCTATACTAGACTTAATTGACTCTTGACCAAGCTAATGTGCACACTTGACCTTGTCAGGCAGTACAGCACCTTCTTGAAGGCCCAGGACGGACCTTATATATATATATTTATTTTTATTAAAAAAAAAAACATTTTTTTTCCTTCCTTTTGCTCAAGGCCACGTACATAGTAGTTCCTGGGCCTTACGGAGGCTTTGTTCTTCCGCCAGTTTTTCCAATTTGGCTCTCAAAACTCAAGAGGAGTTGTAAGTGTAAGAGGAACACTCAATTGAGCGCTTGTTAGATTGATTGCTAGATGCCGTCACTGTTCAGGAATCATCGCCGACTCTCGTGCTTGCCCATGCGAGAATTGGCGATTCAGGCGAGGTTTGTTCCGTTCGAAGGATAGGGTGCACGGCCATCGGTTCGGCTGAGGAGCTCAGGAAGTGGCTGAGTTTGCCAGCAAAAGTGCCGAGGCTCAGGTCGCGTGTCTTCACCGGGCAAAGGCCAAAGAAGGCCAAAGAAGGCGAAGGGAAGTTATTTTGTATTCTATTTTATGCGCATGAGGGGTGTAGGATAAACTCAGTCCCCAAGATTGTTGTGTATCCTGAAACACACTTACACTTTTGTGCAATCCTACTGTCTGATGAGCGGCCAAGGTGTGCATTTGCGCTTGCTTGACTTGACTGGCTGTGAGATCACGCAGTGCCCTCAACGAGGTTTCCACTGTTTCCACTGTTGATTCCTGTCATTGTAACATTTTTTCCTCAAACAGATCTTATTAGATCTCATTAGTATCTACGGAACATCCTTTGCATACACCATGAAATCAAAACTATCCAATTATGGTGTGTGTGCCACTCAGGGTGTTGGGCTCTGTTTGGCACCTGCATAGATGTCATTCGTACTGATCCTATTTGATACTCCAAATCCTGTTGCCATCAACCACTACTTCTCAAACATGCCTGGCATAAAGGTAATTGCAAAAACACCCCACCCACACGCTGAGGTCTACAGGTGTACTCCATTTGGCGGAGGTGCTGAGGCTGGGGCCCAAGCTGGGCAATCTTTTCTTTGCTGAACCCTAAGAGCGATGGCCTCCACCCTACTAGCGATGGCCTCCACCCTAGAAGCGATGACCTCCAACCTAATTCCGATGGCCTCCACGTAATAGCATCCTTTAACATATATGATATATTTATTCATTTGCACATGTTTGCACTTTTGCATTGTATTGTTCTTGTGGCTGTTGGGGATTGTCGATTTGCTTCGATTATTGTTTTACCAATTTCAGCACAGGTGATTAAACGGATGGTTTGTCCACAGCGATCTGTTGTAAGGCAGCTTTTCAATGTAAGTGCAATGAATGGGTAAGTTCGCTGCAGGATAACTTAGTAACTTCCTTGTGGCATTCTGATGTTTCCTTTGCATGGACCAAAGCAGCACCCTACTTTGCAAGTTCCAGTGTTCAACTTTCCAAGAGTTGGTTGGTGGAACAACGACTCGGAGTTCTTTCTTTCTAAGATGCAGCATTACGCTGGAGAGCCTTGTACTACGCCACAATGACATCATGTCTGGACCTGCTGGGGAGGCAAGAATCGGAGGGCTTGACATGTTCTTGGCCAAATTTCTTGCAACTTCAAGGGATGTCTCTAAGGATCTTGCAAAAGGTGTTTTGCCCATCTATCTTCACTATTATATATATATAATTGGATTTGAAGGATTTGGGGACGGGGTCTCTCCCCAGTTTTGACACTCGGCCAGCTTTCGATTTTTGTGGGCTTCCCAAACGCAGGAAGGGCTAGCAGCTCTTTGCCAAGCAGCTGCGTCCAGCTCTTCGTTGAGGACAGGAGACTGAAAGAACTTGTGGTAGTCGGAGATTATCGGATCAGTCCGGTCTAGGAGTCTAAGGGCAAGAGTTTATCGATCGGAGCGCCGGAATGTGCTCGAGGCATTTGGACCTTCGACACTGTGGCGTACATGGGGAGTCAGCGGCCGCTCACGTGGCCTCGATCTTGCAGGATTGCTCCTCGGTCTCGGTCTGCTACATGACATGGACTTGGACCATTGGATATTCCAATATTTTGTAGAATATGGACCTGGATATATGATATACACTCCGACTCACTAACGTGGAAGTGGAAAATGGTCCCTTGGAAGACTACGAACAGGGTTTTTGCCTATAATCACCAAGCGCAACCAGTCTCCACGCATGAAACGTGGCTGGTCTTGTACCAGGCCACAGGCCTAAGTACAGAAAGAACCCAAATGCAAAGTGAGAAACTACCGAATTGGAATCCTCCATGACGCCAACGTACGACCAGCACCAAAGGAAAGAAGCTTGGCCAGCTTACAAAGGCACTCATCTCCAAACCACGGCGTTGCACCACAAATTGTTCCTTGTGGAAGGGTTCTTCCATCTACCCTTTGGAAGGTTGTGTGGAAAACGCATGAAAACGCCAGGGAAAGGTTGTGCCGAGTCTGTCTTGGACAGCAAAAGCATAACCAGGCGCAGTTTGTGATAGTAGGCGTAGTACCGTAGTACGTTACAAGGTCAATGTCAGCATCCAAACTCCAACCTTGGAAGGCAAGAAAGACCGCGAGCTCACCAAAAGAGACGGAGTAATTGGCATCAACCTGCCAACGCAGCTGGTTCAAAAGCTGGCAAACTGTAGCCCATTCTGTCGTTGAACCATCCGACTTGGGTGGGACGGCAATCCTCCTGGGGATCTTTGGTCGCCAGGGAAAGGCGGAAATCTCAAGATTCCACTACCACGACGGGAAGCTTCCTTATAACTCGCAAGTGAAAAATCACCATCTGGACCAACATAGGATGAACTTGATGCAGAAGCATCTGTAGGCAACAAGTTGTGCGCATTGCTCAACCACTGTTGGTGATGTAGTGCTGCTTCCTCAATTGACGGGGTGAAATTGGTGAAGACTGGTGACATGCGATGCGCGAACTCTTTTGCCGTGAGATCGGCCGTGCGGTTGCGCTCTATATGCATCACAGTTGTGCCATGCGTTGCAGCCAAACTTTTGAAATAGGAAGATGTTCCAATTTGTGCGCCGGGATCCAAGAAATCGAGAAAGGCTGAGGATGAATGGTGGATCGTTCACGGAATCCACCACTCTTGGCAACTCCAGTCAATCCCGACAACACAATTGTAGCCTGCTCGACAACTGCCTTACAGTCGCCAAAAATGTGTACACGGAACGTTTGAACGCGGGCCTGGAGTACTGCGAAGAGTTCTGGAGCATAGGCAGCATAGGCGTGGCAATGAAGCCTATTCACCAGGCCTTTCTCCAGTACTTGGTTGTCAGCGTCGACGATTGCGTAGGCAGCTGTTGTTAAGCAAAACTGATGGATCTTTAGGACAGACCCATCCGTCCATAGTTCGATTTCCTGATTCGGTTGAACAACCTGAGCATGCAAATCACTCACTTGAGAGGTGAGAAGGAGTCTTTTAGCAAACAACTTGGGGTGTTCCACACTGCCAGTGATCGGGGTATTTGCGCCAAGTTCGTGTAGAACGGGAACACCAACAATTTTGTGCAGCTCCTCACACTCATAAACCAAGTCAGGCATTGGTTCTTGGATATCTTTGCTTGAATTATAGCGACGTCGCCCGACGTTGCTTAAAAAATCGACCGAAGTTTCTGAATTAAGGGTGGTTCTCTTTTTCATTTTGTGAAATACTTCCACGCCAAGCACTTGCAAACCAGGCCTTGCAATTTTATCAGTTCACGCTGGTTTGCAAGACGCCGTGTAAGGTGACCTGGACACGGCTGGCCAAATCTAAACAAGGGTGCCTGCTCAAGGTGTCAAGCAAAACTCTTCTGGCGCCTTTGGCAGCTTGAATCTTGTGTCTTAAAGCTCTTGCCAAGTCCCCGGGAGAAATCGAGCCCAGGGACGTTTCTCAAGACGTCCAATTTGAGCTTTTCGCGGCCTGAGAAGTTCAAATTTAGGCGTCTTGAGAAATCACGGTGCGAGAAAGCCTAGCTCCTTGAACAGAGTTTATTTCCCACCTTCCAAGCCAGGCCAGGAAGCTGTTGCCAGGAGGGAAGCGGGCATGCCGCAAGAGTGAAAAGAGAGGGCACTGCATATTGTTTTTTGCAATGATTGTCACACGCTTGAAGCTTCGTGTGAAGTGAGGGGCCTCACGCCATACTTGACTTGTAATATTTTGTAATAATTCCTAGGTTGTTAGGTTGATTATTTCTTCCCCCTGCGACGTCACTATAATTTTGTTACTTCACGCGACCTAAGTCTTACTTCAATATTGAAATAGAATTCGACCTAACGACCTGCGAACTACTGTAACTCAGCCAGATGTATGATATATATATACACACTGTACTCATGTATATACATATGAATATATGAATATCTGCTACAGCGGTCTACAGTACACTTTCCTTCTCAAAGGACTTGTAGACAGGTTGTGTTCACAGAGTGTCCAAGGACAGATCCCAGTGCAAAAAGCCAAGATAAGGGGTCATTTTGGGCGTCACTTGTGTACCTATGGGCCTGCAACCGATTCCCGAATGTGTCGACGTGTTTTGGCCCTATAGCACAAGGGTGACCCCCATGCAATTCTTCAGGAATCAACCCCAGGGTTGCCTCTAACAAATCGCCAGGGCAACGGTGGGCTGTCTCATTTGGAGCTCTCGTGGAACCACCTGGAGCCCTCTGGCGGACAGGCTCCCATGCGAGAGTTGAACTGTTTGCGGATGTCCCAGGTCAGAAGAGAATCATGTGGTGCTGGATAATTTTTTGATATTTTTTGTTCACTCCCAAAGTCCCAAAGGAGAGGAGGTTCGTTTAGGTTTATCTACTTCCACTTGAAGACAGATTTGGGATGGTTTAGGTGGTTCAGACTTGCAATCAAGATTCAAGTTCCAACTCTTGGCCATGTTGTCCGCTGTTGGCTGTTAGATAGTCTGACTGGTACATGCAATGACGCTTCAGTGTTCTTCCTTTCGTATGACGATTGATAAGCTGATGGATGGAATTTGAGCCACATGGAAAGGCCAAACGAAATAGTCAGGGCATGTAAGGGCCGACAGCCATAGCCATACTGTAGGGTTAAATATTAATGTTCAGCCCTGGGAGCTTGCTTGCTTGAGACAGTTGGTTTGGAGGTCCCAAGAAAGCGTCACATCCCAAGCTCAAACCGTCACATTCCATATCACATGCTTGGCAGGTGCTTTTGGACGGTATCCGAAAAACATCCGGTCTTTATGATTGTCAGCTCACCGGTTGCAGGCCAACTGACTGGGAGGATAATCATGCAAGATTCAATCAAAGATTTCCAAAGTATGGGGAGCAATCAGCAAGAAGGAAGTGGCACCACGTTTTGGCATACCGCTGTCTACATTTTTGCTTGCGGCACTAGCACCCAGTTTCTTTGTATTCAAAAAAATTTAGGTATGGCTTTCCTGCCACGGCTTCAGGCTGGCCGACGAAACGCTTCGCTATGTTGCTGAATTGCTGTTGCGAAACAGAAAAGCCCGGACCTGAGATTTGACACCAGAACTAGTATGAAATAGCAAGAGCACTTCGTTGTACACACCGTTGTCGGAACATCTACCAATCTTGCCCGCTTGGCAACAATATTAAATAGTGGCAAGTGGCAACGCTGTTTCATCATGTGTCAAACTTCTGATTTCTGCACCTGGCGGGTGGTGCAGTCAAGCAGGCGCACAAGGCCAGTATGCAAGCGGGTCCATACAAGGCTGCGAAAATGCCGTTTTATGTCCTTCCTGTGACCTAGAACCTTTATCGAAGCTGGTCACAAGCAACACAAAGAGCGCTGTTGGATGTGTTAGTTGTTCTAGATAATTAATGGAGTAAGTACTTTGCAGCGGCTGCCATCAAAAAGCCAAATGGGCCTTCACTCCTGCTGTTGTTTTGTAGACCAGCTATCCGAAGCCTTGACACATAGCTTGAACACGCCAGAGTCGCCGGAGGACATGTTGGGAGGACTCTTTTTTGTATATATATATAATTGCCTCAACCGGTTCGGGGAGTGGTCGAATGCATCCATGCGCCGCTGCAGGGCTCATGGCTGAAGAACAACGCAGAGCTGGAGTTCGAAGGTCAAGTGCCTGTCGGCATCTCAATGCAGAGAGGACCATCTTTTTGCAACCAACGCTCATCAAAACCACAAGACAGTTCAAGGGAATCTCATCACGCAAAGAGGCTGGATGTAGCTGGTAGTTTCTGCTCACGAAACGAGGGTAGGGCTTACGCGGTCGACGCCGGGGGCATGGAAGCACCGGGGTTCGACGTCCGTGGGCAAGAAGGGTGACGAACACAGAACGAACGCAATTGACTAGACTAGATTGGTGATGAACCTACCGTGCCTGCTGGGGCCTCAAAGTCTAGCTTCAAGTGGCCTGACACTGCTTGGAGCATGGTGTGGGAAAACCAACTCACCGAAAGCACCTAAGGTGCAGCTACTTTATGCTATTGTTCTTTTCTCATTTTTGAATATCTTTTCACAAACAAATGCAAGAAACGCCTACCGCTCACCAGTTCGTGATCCACAGCACCAAAAACTGTCAACTTTTGGGCAGCTTTGTTCTTGGTGGCGAACTAACACCTGTGTCGGCACTTGCAGCAAGATCTGCCAGTCACAACATACTTATTACATATCATTATTAGTACTACTCAAGTGATACAACTTACAACGTTACCCTACTGCAGTGTACTACATCACCAAGGGTAAAAGCTTGCCTCTTCACTAAGTCAGAACCTCCCACTGAAACACCGGGTCACTGGCTTCTTATTTGAAGAGCCCTTGGAGTTTCGTGTTCGATTTCCGCTTTGCACCCGACAAAAGAGCGAAGTGACCTCGTGATGTACGCTTCGTAACTAAGTACGCGACACTGTCTGAGGCGACGCCGTCTGGGATGCGCAGTCAAGGGCAGGTAGCTGGACAGTTGGACCGGGTCTTCAGGTCTTTTTACAGGAATAGAAGTGGCTCCACTTTAAGGGGTTAATAACAGGGCCAACAAGCAGGAATGAAGGCACATCCAGGCACGCGCTGAAAGCATCAGTGTTGGATAGACACTCTGGAGACAACAGTTGATGGTTGAGAATGACAAGCTTTCAGAATATCGAGCGCTTCTTGAATGGCTTGGATGGGTCGCCTGTCCACCAATATTCAGGCGGCTGCTGCGAATCATCCGCTCCGATATGCTGCCACTTGTTTCAATTGATGGGCTGCCGATGTCACTGGACGGAACTTCCCGTGAGCCACAAGCATTGTCCAAGGTTGAAGGCCCGTTCTCCCTGGTTTCTGACAAGCCACAGCTTAGCTGTTAGCTGACCTAATTACATCATGTGTCCGACGAGAGTGCGTGCAAGGGAAACGAACTCCAATCGGACTGTACCTTGAGGGCATGGAGTTCAAGGGCCAACACAACTCCGATAGAGAGGCTCAACGGTCTATGAACAATGGGACTGAAAGGCAGTGCCGAAACATGTACGCTGTATAGATATCGTGAATATAAATCTAAGTTCTAAGGATATATATATATATACTAATGCAGATATCAAGTAAAGGTCCCTATTTGCTGAGGGATAACTCCAAGCAACAAACAAAGGGCAAGCCACAGCTATAAGAGGTTTTTGTTTCCCCATTCATTGTTCTTCAGAGTAGATTAGATGGTGTCAGGATGCTTGTGACATGTGTTTGGCCGCTGGGAGCTCAGGTGGCCAATATCCCCAGCAACGCAGCAGGGGACCTAGCAAGGTGAGGTGTGGGAAGGTGAATGAAGGAGCGAGCACCGGAACTTGCATTTGTTGATTTTTAGTTTGTACCTACCAACAACGCCTCCAAAGGGCTCTACCCATTGCTACAACAAACCAGAACACTTGAACGCAAACTGATAGTATACAAGATCGCTTGAAGAAGCTGAGCCAAAGATCATGCTTTGGGAGTTTCCTGCACACACCTTGCGGATGCTGAGACATGGTGCAGATCCCTTTTAGGATATCTCATATCAAAGATAGTCTTAAGGTCGTCTCTGATGAGAAGACCGCAGAGCTCATTGAAAGGCTGGGGTGGAGGGATCATCACATCCTTGGATTCTCTTCTGTAGACTAGAGCGGGTACTGTATGTCTCATAAATCACAGTGTAGGTTTTTTATTCAAAGGAGTTGGATGTTTATTTCTGGTGAGTTTTATTCTGGTCGTTGCATGTTGGGTATTTGTATAACTCCAGCCCCTTTCGCGGAACATACCTGGATGAGAAGAATGGCGAGGCTCTTCGAAGTGAGACATCGCTTTCTGCCGGAGTGGCTACGCTCAGTGGAATGGACTTGAAGGGAGTTTAGCCAGAAACAAGCCTCAAATGGCCTCAAAGGTTGCTAATGACTTACATCTCATCCCCCAGGAACAAGCTCAACAGTCCCGGATTGCAACTTATGTGCCTACCGAGTAAATCTGAGGAATGTGACCTATGATGCCACAGGTGTTCTGTCATTTGCACGCACACAAACGTACATAGATGAGATGACAATCAGCAAGTGCAGAGTGGCAGCATATTGCCCATGACCATGGCTGGTAAAAGCCTGAAGACTACGTTGTTTTTTCTTTAGCAGGAGGATCTCTCCAGCTGAGCGGGTTCGGCTGCTGAGGTCGTCGTCTGGGAAGATCACTCAAATACATGAATTTCTTGAGTCAGCGGCCCAGCTCTGGAGTTTTCACGCCATTTCGCACCCCAGCATCCCTTCTGAAGTTATCAGTTATCTCTCCTTCATCTTTGCATTCTTTGGATCTCATGTTTGATCACTTCAAGTCACTATTGAAGATACAAGTAAGCAATTAAGGCAACCAGTTGGCAGGTGGTGTCAGGAGACTTTCCTGATTGTCCGGCGTTTAACATCAGTCACCACGGTCCGACCACTCTTTGGGCTTTGCACGGACCGCAACCGATTCAACGTTGAGTGAGGTACTTGCAACGAGGCCAGGCTGATGCCAAAGAGAATCGGCAGGTGCCCACTGGGACAGGTCTGGGAGTCTGACATGATTGGGTCGCTGCTTGAGAATGTGAAAACATGACCTCCAGTGGTTCAAGATAGGGCCGTACAATCTGTAAATTGCTGGTTGTTTTTGTAAGGTCATTATTCCTTTGCTGCTCGAAGCTTATGACCTTCATCAAATTGCTGTGTTGGCTCAGAATCATGATTCCAAGAATGAGGCTGAATGAGGTGTACGTATAGTATATAATGTTTTCTTGGACAGAGACTGCAGGGCTTTTTCTTGATTGTTTACAGAGAACATGGTGTTTAGCAAAGCCATACAAAGCCCGTCTTTGTTATTCTGTGAATTCTGCGGACGTCTCGACGGAGCTATCTGCATAGAGCGTGCACACACACAGAGCTTGGCTTAGCATAATATGCTGCAGACAGCCAAGTTTCCCTTTCAGTGTTTCTACGTCGACCATTGACCCTGCAAGCAGCTGGCATGTGCAGCCAGAAATGGTGCCGCTCTGGCCGAAACTGCTCTGGCCAGGCCACTCTTGTTTGAACATTTTCATAGCTTCAGATTCAGATCTAGCAATTGATTCTCCTTGAATCTGACGGCAAGACTCTTCGGTTTGGTGTAATTGAGAGCCTGAGTCATCCAACTCGTTCCAACCCTATTTTAGAAAGTCCAAATTCCAAATACATGTGTGAGAATAGGAGAGAATCACAGCACTGCGGCAGTGTGCCATGCAAATCCTTCCAGCTTCCGGCAGGGCTAATTTGCCTCGCTTGGCATGGAGCAGCCGTTGAGACCCCAGAGTCGGGTCGGCAGGCGTGGAGCTTCGCGAGAGGTGCAGAGTGCTGCTCATCGCCCCGCGGTGCGCAGGAATGGGGCCAGCTCATCGTCGTGCCCTAAGAGGATTTGGCAGATGGTTGAGGGATCAGCCGCAAGGGGACCTACATGGGATCCTAAAGGCTGACACTGACACCATACATATTACATACTGTATATGTTATCTGTTATACATATACTGGTACTACATACATATAGTCATGTAGTACACATATTCATCCATTTTGTATCCAACCTCTTCTCATGGTCTTGCGGTGCGCACTGACATGGATCATTTGGGCCCGGCATTTTCAGCTTGGCAAGAATCGGTGCATACATGAAAAGAGAGAGGCACAGGCTTCCAGAACTGGAGGCCATCGCTATTAGGTTGGAGGCCATTTAGTGCTTCAAAGCAACGCTACTAGGAGCAAGAACGCTACTAGGAACAAGTGCATCGCTACTAGTAACAAGTGCCTTACTAGTAGTAACAAGAAGCTACTAGGGGCTCCTGGCCTTACTACTAGGAGCAAGAACGCTACTAGGGGCTCCTGGCCGTACTACTAGGAACAAGAAGCTACTAGTAACAAGTGCATCGCTACTAGTAACAAGTGCCTTACTAGTAGTAACAAGAAGCTACGAACGGGGCTCCTGGCCTTACTAGGAGCAAGAACGCTACTAGGAACAAGTGCATCGCTACTAGTAACAAGTGCCTTACTAGTAGTAACAAGAAGCTACGAACGGGGCTCCTGGCCTTACTAGGAGCAAGAACGCTACTAGGAACAAGTGCATCGCTACTAGTAACAAGTGCCTTACTAGTAGTAACAAGAAGCTACTAGGGGCTCCTGGCATCGCAGCTGGTTGACGCACCGAGGCTTTGGGAGCGATGGATGGCTTCGGGTCGCTGTCAGAGGCGGGAGTCTGGGGTCCGGTGCACTTGGCTTTTGGTTTCCCAAGATGGATCATAGTATCAACAGCTATGTTAACGCATAACATGGTTCTTAAATGGATCTGAGATGATCTGGGTATGTGAGTTCATTCCAGTTCAGTGGAACGTCCAGGATGGCGACGCGGCCTGCCTCATGTCAGGTCCGGATGAAAATTGAGGGAAACTGGTGGACAATAATTTGAGTCAGTGTTCAACTAGTTTTCAACATGAGGTCCAATTCAGCTCAGCTACTAGGTGATAAAGATGATCAAAACAACAACACAATAACTATGTAATTATTATGTAACAAAAAAGTACAAGCGCAACAACGAAGAGTATGAGACAATGCCAAGCGCCGATGCATTTCTGTGCAGTTGCAGTTTGGCTTTTTGGGAGGCACTAGAAGTCTCTTAAAAATTTGCTTTTCTGGGGTAGAAACTATAGTTGTTCCAGTGGTGAGCTGCATCGTCATTTGTGTCGCTTTAGCTGTGCAGAGGTGGTGCTTCTCGGGTTGTGGATCTTGCAAGTGGTTTGTGCAAACTCTTTACCACAGGCTCCACCACATCTGGTGCCAAACTCTTCAACGCTTCCTCCCGCTTCGTGACCCTGCGCGATGACCCAGCCAGTGTTGGGTCGTGGAGCAGCGTTTGCACTGTTGACTGCTGGAATAGTGCAAGGATAGGGATCTTGGACCCGTCAAAGTGGGGATTCACTGACTGACAGAATCTCTCTGAATAAAACTACAAAGTAATTACATTGGCAGCTTTCCTGCTTGGTTTCTCAGTAAAAACCGAGAGATTGGCATAATTACCGCATGCTAGCACAACCGAATCAGGCTGCAGCAGGCAGGTTTCGGTGCAGACACAAGCGCCAAGCTGGCTGGTATTGACGGTTGATGGACAGAGCAAAAAACACATGTTTCTTGTGACCTTCATAGTATATATGTATAAATGTCCCAAGCTCGCAGACTTGAAACTTACATAGCCAGAGGGAAAACAGGCGGTAGTTCAATGCTAGAATCTAGAACAACAAGGCCAGAAAGACTGCACAGATGACAATCAGAACAACAACCAGCTGTCCTGCAAAGAAGATGCAAGAATGCAACCCTCATGTGCCACCTATCCTGGCATCGCTACTACAGTAGGAGCAAGGCTTCGCTACCAGGAGCAAGGACGCTACTAGGGACATAGGTCCAAACAGCTAAACCAGCATTTCGGGACACCTGGATTGTGAGAGTGGTTTTTGGAAAGTCCTTGGTTTGCCAGGCCCATCAAGCGGCCCATCTGTTGCAGACCCAGAAGTCCATGGGTTTGCAAGAATTCAGTGCAATCATTGATGCTTGGAAGAAGGCCGACGGCTGTTGTCACAATTCCAAGGTCTTTGACCTCTGAGACCATTGCCAGTCTAGCCAGGGGCTTGGCAAAGGCTCAGAAGTGTGTGTGCTCATTCTACGAGAGGCTACGAGAGGCAACAGCTTGCATTAGGTCAATGTGATGTGGGACATGAACACAGGATGAATAGGACAAACCTTGGCCCTGGATGAGACAGGTCGGAAGCCTTCAAGCTTTGATCGAGCTGGAGGCTGGGATAGGGCTTCAGCTTGGCCTGTTTTGTTGAGGTTAATTCCATGTAGCTGGCAGGGCAGTGTGGCAGTGACTTGTTTGCCACATGAAGCTTTGTTAAGACTGCGGCCGGAAGCCCAGCTAACAAGTGCTGGTGGAACACAGCCATCTTCGCTGATCACCACTCTCAACATCCAGAAAGAGACACACTTGCATCAGAATTGCAAGCGAGGCGAGCAAGCGATGCGTTGCTTTTGCTGTGCTGGCCTCATCACGGGGTTCCCTGCGGTTCCCAGTTGCTTGTTCGCTCGCTTGGCTTACTATCTTAGGCAAGAGCGGGATGGACGACTCGCTTTGCAAGAAATGGAGATACAGGATGACTTGGTGCGACACACAGATTTGGTGGCGGTGAAAATACAGTGACAAGTGATACACTGACTGACAAGTGACATGATTTATATACATAGATGTGTGCACGCACGTAATGTCCGCACATTTTTGCAAGTTTTTGAATTTGACCAAGACCGACCTCACTGGCCACCAGAAGAGTTCGGTGTGTGTGATGATAACATCTATCTAGCCGCCACCGGACCAAGGTTATTGCGTCGCAGGACTTCAAGCTGAAGGATGTGCGGCTGTCCGGTGTGTCGGTTTCGAAATGTTGCACGTTGAGCTCTGTGTTTGATAGCAATCGAGACTGAGTGCTTGGGACAACTTCCTTCAAGCTTCAAGAGGAATATGCATCCTTCGGACGAGATTTGGGAACGATTTGGCGACATGCCCCTTCGCTGCAGACAAGAAAACTCTGATGTCTCCTCTGTAAACGATGTAGACTTAACTGTTAGCTTGTTGTGTGTAGATATATATATATATGTATAATATATATTATATATTATACAACATGTTTAAAAATTGTGGTGATTATCAAAGGGATGCTGGAGCAAGGTTAGGTGATGCAGTGACGTTTAAGTTTATCCAAGCGGAACATGAGTATTCACTCTGTTTATTTATATTTTTTTTCAATTTCTAGTGATAAATTCGTTGCAACTGCATAGGGGGCCACTCAAAAACTCAGAACCCCGTTGACCCAGCTGACCCAGCTGACCCAACCACCACCACCACCACCACCACCACCACGACCACCACCACCACTTGCCATCAAACAAAGTTAAAGTCAATTGGGTCAACTGGGTTCAACCAGGTCAACCGGGACACCCTGTACAATGTGGTCAACCGGCCAAGCAGGCAGCACATTTACCGGCCCCCTACGCCGACACACTGGATAAATTTTAATATCTATCACTGTCGCAATGCAAATTTCCGCATACTCTGTGAATTTGAAGCAGGTTGCTTAGGCACTCCACCTGCACAGGTTAGGAGTAGTGGGAAGCAGTGCCACCATGACTTGAGCGAAGGTATTCCGCGATACTTGTAGGTTTGTGGACGCATGAGTTGTGCCTCCTTGAACATACCTGACGTATGTTTTGCTTTATTTTTTTTAAAGCTTTATACATCTTTATAATCAGCTGTATTCCGTGGTCGGCAAACGAAAGACGGGTGTGGGTGCCTGGATCCAGCTCAGAGACCCGAGGCCCTAAAAGATGCCTCACCTACCACTCCAAAGGTGCGGCATAAATCGGATGCTCTCAATGGTAAGGTGCAGTGACATTTATTTCCTAAGGGCAAAGAGATGTCTGTAAAGAAACGAGAGAATACATAAGAATGAATGAGAAAAACAAAGAGAACAGTAATTAATACTTATCGACTTTTGTTCGTCCGAGCATCTTGACCATCGCAAGGGAAAGTATTTGACCGCTCATTTGCTTCAATTGAGGAGGTTTTTAGATCAACCAGAGAGTTCCAAGTGGATGCGTTTGCAGGTTCCTCAGACTCCAGCAGTTGGATCACAGAGTCCAATGCCCTTAGACGTCCTGAAAGTCATCGCCTAAGAAATGGCTTGTGCAAGTTGATCATGTTCAGGCTGCAGACAACTCCAAGCCAAGACTCACTGTCTTGAAGAGGGAGGTTTGAGCTTGTACACTTGCATGATTGCACCAGGTCACCAGCATAATATCAATGATTCAACTTTAATTTGTATACACTTTGTTCTATTTGTTCTAGACTAGATTCTGTATATGTTTGGTGGTGATTTGGTTCGCCACATCGTGTTCGTCTCGACTGGGACATCAATTTTCGGCCGAATCCCTTACGAAACGCTACCCAACAAGAACGCTGCAACTCTGGTTTGGAATCTCATTCATGTCGTCTCTGTTTCGCCAACGCCCAAGGTCACGTCAGCCCTTTTGATCGGCTTCTTTGGCCACGGAGAGCGCCAATTTGACGGTGCAAAGAAGAGCTCATCCGCCCAGGCCTCGGGGTGCGCAAACCGAAGCCTCCGGGTACCCAACCAGCGTCCAAAGGTCAAACAACTATGACTAGTTCATGGGTTTTTGGGATGTTTTTAGTCAGACTAATGATGTCAGACTTGAGAACATCTTATCATGGAATTGCATGGAACATTCTGGAGCTGCTGATGGTGTTGCTCTTCTGTCTTTTTCCTCAGGTCTTCCTTTGGGAGGATCCTTTGCGGTTCACCACCTGCATGGAGCAATTACCTGAACTGGAGGCACCAAATTAGGTATGCAGAGCGACACGTAGTTGAGATAATTGCTCGCTGCAGTATTGGCAATATCGGCTTGTGCCCCAGCAGAGTCGTCATTGTCTTTGTTCCAGGTCTCGATTAAACGACGTGTGAAGGTCAAGTCCTGAGGGGTTTACTGTACAATGAGCACCGTGCCTGCTGTGACAGGCTGTCTGGACTTCAATCGGCACCGTGCTTCAGACGGCGTCTCCGAGACCAAAACTTTGGGGTCCGGCCCTCGAAAACCCAGGTTTTCACTAATATCTGACACCTGGACACCAGGATTTCCCTGACCATTTTTGTGGTCATTTTACAATATTTTACAAACTTTGTGATTCTTGGTGCCTAGCTTGCAAACAACAGTTTGTAGACTGGGCATGTCCCCTTTCTCCCCTTTCTAGACTAAAACTAAAACCTATCATCACACCACCAACCCTAGGCTTTTCCACACCTGATGAAGATGTCAGACATCGGGAGGTGCAGCAGTTGGTGAGGGAGCCCAGAGTTAGTTCTCGAGGCAACCTGAATGTTGGAAGATCTGTCAGCGACGATGTCCGAACCAACAACGTTGAATTATGGTTACTCTAAGCCGTTTCATGGCTGGAGGCACGATTGGGCCGGATTTTGCAGCAGCTTCCAGGGCTCCTTCATCATTGTGGACTGTTGAGAGCTGAGACTGTGGGGCACAGAGCTGGGCCCAAGCGACCTGCTCTGACGCCTTTGATCGGAAGCCCAAGAAGTGACGCTGCCGTTTCCGATGACTAGCCACTCCGATGACTTTAGGCAGGGAAAGGAGAAGAAGATGTTCCAGCAGTCTTTGGCCGTTTTTGAATCGCCGCCCGCACGGGTCCCAAGACTTCCCAGAGACCCAGCCAAACATGTGCTTTGGTGATGAGCCTACAAACAACGATGACCAACTCTCAGGACAAGCTTTTGCTTTGCTCAGGAAAGGGTTCTGAACGCTGCAGCATCGTCACTTTTCATCTTGGAGCAGCACTGGACTGCCAATGCATGGCAGGACCCCTTGAATGAGGGCTGTTGAATGAGGGTAAAGGGGCCCTTATCCTTGTTTCCACCTCTTCACAGACTTGTTTTTCTTTGCTAGTTCACACTTAATTATCTTCAATTTTGTTTTGTAATTGGCATGTTCCAATCTTGCCTTATCTGACCCTCGTGGCTTGACCATGGCTCCAGCCTGAACATTGCAGCTGAGAGCATAAGTTGATGCTCTTTCGCGATCCGAATTATTTTCAAACATATAGATGTCTCTCACCCACATTTCCAGGTTTCGCTCTTTTCGACCAATTTCTTTGGGACCATGCATGTACATTGTGTCCAGGCAACTGTCCTTTTCTCTTGATCTCCCCTGCATTCAACCAGTACTTTCAGGCGACTTTCAGGTATATATATATATATTGTAATTGCAATGGCCTCCACCCTGGTTTAGCGATGGCCTCAAACCTAATATTATCATGTATTTGGATGCGCGATCATGATGGATGAAGCCACTGCCGATGTTATTCTCTTGTTCTTTTCGCAGGAGGTGGGTTCCAAGCTGGGGCTTTTGATGCAAGACATGCTCTTGGACACCTTCCCTGAAACAGTCCATTTGGACAGCGGCAGGCACCAGGGTTGCATGAAACCTCCATTTTGTACAATGTTCTAGATATTGCACTGCATGCCCATATAGACTCATCAGCGTAGAGAAGGAGTGAGACACTCTAGAATCACAACCTGAGTATCATCAGACAGGCTGCAGGCGCAAGTTCCTCCTCGTCGACAAGGTATGCAGCTGTTGTATTCCGCCCTTACAAGTGCAATGCTGCATTCTCCTCAAATGTAATTACTCAGTGAGTTGTTTCATACTTGGTTGGCACATCAAGAACTGAAGATACAGGAGATGAGTTATGGCTTATAATCATGGCTTTAAACTTGGAGCTCCGAGACGAGACTCAGCGTGAGCAAGTTGGATCCTGTTGTGGCTGCCTTTGTTAGATCTCACCCTCGTTGGGCTTCCTGACAGGCGCCGACACGCACGTCATCCTGCTTTGCCTATGTGCTGGTCTGGCCATCCCTGTCACCGGCCTGGCGGCCGCACGAGGATGGAATGTCCCCAAGATTGTCAGCCGAGGCCTCAGTGTTTAGACGTGCCTTGAATATGCCATGCCTTTGTTCTTTGGCTTTGAATATGCGAAGCATTCCGAATCCAAAGCCAGGCATCCAATACTTCCCCAAATCTGCTGGAAAGAATGGCCTTTTTGATAAGGCTTCATTGCTCTAGAGGGTTTCAGCCAGTTTCATCCTGTTTAAGGTGCCATGTTTGAGATCCGCAAGGCTGGAGCTGGTGATTCCTGTGATGACTCGCTCTCTGATTTTGTCAGCTCTCTGATCCGCATGGCAGGTGCGGTGTGATGATTGCCAGGAGGGGCGAGGGAACGCTGTGGAAGAGATTCAAATCGAACTCTCCGCTCGCATCCGAAGACTGGAAATGAGCCCAGATCCCAGTGGAAAGAAACACATTGGACTTGCCCGGGGTGAACACCCCTTTAGGGGGCATTGATGTTTCATGTTTAATCGCAACCGCTGTGTGCACATGTTGTCCCATCCCGGAAAGCACCTTGTTCTTCATTCTTGGTGTTGCTCGGTTCCCCCCTCTACTAATTTCATTTAGTTACACAATTGTCCTAGCGGTCCTAGCTAAGGCAAAAGTCGCACTGACTGGATGAGAATGTACAATGACAGCCAACATACATTACAGATCATTACAGTACATACTGTGCATCGCTACTAGTAACAAGCGGATTACTACTAGTAACAAGAAGCTACTAGCTTCTTGCTACTAGTAGTAATGCCAGGAGCTACTAGTAGCTTCTTGTTACTAGTCTGGTTTCGGAGCTGATGAATCCAGACTGACGGGAGCCAAGGTGGACTGTTGCAAGACGACGAGGAAGAAACTATTGAAGAGATCCATGAATCCATGAAGATCCCATACCATTCGACTCATCGCATTTAAGCGCACTGGCGCAGAGAGCCCAGTTATTGCTTTTGTCCCAAAGGATATGCTGGATGTGTTTAAAACTCGTGCATGTTTGCATGGCTCCGCCGTGAAAATTGCAGCGGGCAATGTCAGCTGATCGGGATTTGCTTCCGTCTTTGCTACGGGCAGCTCGGCCAGTTTCCGCGAGCGTGCCTTCGTTCTAAGTCGGCCATGCTCAAAAATGTGCCTACGAGCTCTTGAGAAACATGCCGAATCCGCGTGGCTTCAACACCGTGAGTTCAGACTCCGCACAAACTATTTTGCTACGCAAACTTGGGATTCGATACATTCGGCTCGCGGAAGGCTGCGGACGAGGTGATCAATCGGACGAAATTGATGATGCAAGGCTTTGAGGAGTTGGGTCTGTGTTTTGGGCCGGTGTGAGTGAGGAAGGGTCAGGAGCTCTGCCCCTGCGAGATGCCTCACCAACTCACCGCAGCGTCTCCAGGATCGGGAGATGCGCTACCGGGAGCAACTCGCACAGGGAAGGGTGCGATGCCCAGGGTCGGGGGTCAGAGAAGGAGTAAGAAAGGAGCGAAGGATAGGCTCGGCATGGCTCGGCTACTCGTAAGGATAGGCTACTCAACATGAGGTGCTCGTTCTATGTCGATCTAAGGATGAACTCCTTGACCACTCCCGGGAGTACAGCAAGTTGCAGGGCAACCTGCGCAGGCGGATGGAACGTGGAGCTCGAGTGAGCCCACGATGTCATACCTGTTTTTGACCCGTTCCCAGAGCAAGAAAAGATCACACTTGAGACATCCAGATTTGGATCATGTTTGTCAATTTTGTAATTCAGGAAACAAACATCCAACAAAACTGTCCGTATTTTGTAAAAGGTCTTTGGAGGACTTGTCCATTCTGCGAGAGGATCTTGAGATTGTACGGAGCTTGTGATGTCTCGATCTTGTTTGATTCGCATTCCGTTCGCTGTTTCACCAGCGGCTTTACCGTATATTATTCCAAAGCAATTAACTGATTGACAAAATTGGTTGAACTTTTCGCCTACGTTCAAGGATCTGCATAGGGTACTTTTTGCAGTTACTTGGGCTCAAACACGCATCCTTTTGAAGGCATGGGCTCGGGTGCTTGTAAGGGCGTGTGCGTGGCCGTCCAGGACGCCTCTGATGAGGAGATCTTGCAATTCTTTGCTGCGTGGCCCAGTGACCAGCGTGAGCGGGTGAATGGCTTGTTGAGCAGTTGCTCCGAAAAGGCTCCAGCAGAGCTGAGTGAAGCTTTGCAAAAAGCCGAAAGTAAAGCCAAACCTTTGGACGAGAAGCAACTCAAGCAGGTGCATTCAGCATTTCGCTGGGGAAAACCTATCCCTGAAATTGAACAGGTAGTGAATGAGTGGGGGAATGAGCTTACTATGAAGGATGCCATTTGTGCCGCAGACACACAAAATGGCAACCTGGCACTCCACATTGCAGCCCAAAATGGTCACATGTCCTTGACAAGGTTTCTTTTGGAGCAAGGAGCAGAGCCCAACGCACAGAACTTCAATGGTCAAACTGCCCTTCACATGAGCGTCGAGTATGACATGTACTTCCAGTCGAAGTTGCTTCTAGATGCCAAGGCTGACCCCAACATCACCAATGCCGGGGGTCACAAGGCATTGACAGGTCTCGAAGGGCTCAAGACAGGTCAAGACGCTTGGGACAATGCTATGAACATTTTGAAGGCAGCAAATGATGATGAAGAGGAAATGAAGGCTGGTGGGGCCAGGGGTCCCGGAAACGCAACAAGCACGAGGAATGCTCGAAAACACATTCCCAAGATCGTAGTTAGAGATCATACTCGCGGTTCGTTGAACAGGGTGCCCATTGGTGCCCATTACGTGCCGATGTTCTCAGTCTTTGAATTTCTTACGGCGGTTTCTCACAGAATATTTGTAGACAGCCTCCCAGCAACATCCTACCACTGGCCATGACTCGCTCAGACCTGGACTCAATAGCTGTTGACAGAATCACTCTCACCACTTCGCGAAGCGCTTTCAGGTGGCTTTTGAAGCGCTGGAAGCTGCAGACCCTGCGGACCTGGACCGTGCCACTTTGGCGGGCACCGGCATGCGGAAGCGAAAGCAGTGCCCGAAGCACTGGCAACCGGAGCGCTTCAAGGCCTGGACCTTTGAAAGATTTTGAAAGGCTATTTTCCTATACAAACCAGCAACTGGTTTTGATGTTCCATGTTAATCTTCCAGGGTGTACTGTATCTCACGTGATCTCCAAATTGGACATCTTTCAAAACAAAATAGATAAAAGCAAGACGCTCTTTTGATAGACGACACGGGACACAAGGATATCGTCCAATAGATTATAGCATCATATAGTTTCAAAGCGCCTCTAAAGCGTTCAGTCCTTCAATAAGGACGAACTGCCGAGGCCATTGTTCAAAAGCTTTGATGACGAGAAGTCCGTGGTTTTTGGGCCGGGACTTCCGTATTTCCGCTCAGCGAGTCAAGACCAACCTCAAGCCAGCTCAACGGGAGGCATATTCATTGCGCACACAGCATGTCCAGAGGTCCTACCATTTGCATACATATATATATATATGTATGTATGTATGTAGGCTTATGCAGGCTAGAAAATACCATGTGACGGAGTGGAAAGCATTGTAGGTGGCGGAAGTTGGCAGTAGCAAAGTCTGAGTCTTATGTCAGGTCTCACCCACTTTGGTGATGGGCGTGTAGGATATGGAAGGATTGGAAGTCTCCAGTGGAAGTTCTCATTCAACACAGCTTTTTACAAACAACACAACGCGGCTTGAAGAATCCTTGCGGCAGGGATCATATTTGTCGCTGTTGCTAGCCTGACAAGTAGGGTCTCAGGTTTGTGAGGATTTTCCGGCTTCTTCCCCTGTAAACACCTCTTTTTCTCCACTACGTCTTCTGAGAATGCTCATTTTGGGCCCACCAAGAGCCAGTCCACTGGATTTGCATGGCCAGATGCAGCGAGTTCTTGGCCATGCCACGACCTGACGGGCCGAAATCGATGCCTGTCAAGGGCCGCTGTTGAACAGCGGGCCCCATTAGTTGCAGATGTGGCTGGAAGGAGCGATGTGCTAGTTAGCTAGTTCTTGCAGAAGCCTTTGATCCACTGGAAGATTCTGGAAGCATCATACTACTTCATGAAGATCTTTTTCAGCTTTTTAATCTCTATAGTTGGTCCATGCTTCAGATGCCATGTCTGAACATGTGAAAGCCGTCTTGGCACACAATCAACTCGCTCCGAACTGATGAAAAACATGTGGAACCAAAGCGTAGCATAGCGTAGCTGTGTAGTGCGAGGAGTTTGAGGCTTTCAGAGCCTAGTGTTTTCATCGCTACTAGGAGCAAGGACACTACTAGGGGCTCCTGGCCTTACTACTAGGAACAAGAAGCTACTAGGGGCTCCTGGTCGAAGGATCCCAAAGGCCAAAGGAGCGTTGTCCAAGGCCATGGACGAGATGAAACGATTTGAGCGACACTGCGAGGACGGGGAGCGCGGAGAACGCCGATGGGAAGACTTGCTCGGCTCCGCAGTGGGCAGTGATATCGCTAAGATAAGATCTGTATAGTATAGATATGATATAAAATGTGTTGAAGGACAATGTGTTTGAGTCCAAATTGTTCTGTGCTCTCAAAGTCAATGACACGTCACATCAGAGCTTCTTTGATAGAAAAAAAACCGGAGGGTATCTGAATTGTTACCTTTTTTTGGACATCGGCTTTAAGTTACATTTGCTCCGGGAGCTTTGGCCATCGTGGCAGGACGATGCAGACCGCGATTATTCGACCTTCGTCGCGGTGACCAGCGACCGAAAGGAGTTGGAGCGGAAGCTGGCCGAGCTGAAGGATCGAGGTTGGATGGCACGGAGGAACTCACTGGGCACGGTGTGCAGAATTTGGGGTAGCCTGAGTATCAAAGACCATCAAACACCCAAAGGAACAAGGACGATACTAGGGGCTCCTGACTCAAGTCTAAGGATCCGAAGGGCTGCGTGGGCAGATCTCAAAAAAAGCATTCTTGTGGAAGTACAATGGGTTTTAAGACGCGTGTTGTTGCTTAAGTCATTTTAAGTCCAAGAGGAGTGTTAAGTTTAGTGTTGCTTAGTATTGATTTCAACGGATTTTCAGCCTTCTCCGATTTTGGGATACACATGACCCACTCCAAGGTAGTCAGTAGGCCACCATGATCATTTTACGGGGCAATGTCACGAATCCATCGACGTGGGAACAGCGCCATGGCTGTGTGTCCGAGTTTCTCCAAACATCTAGGACGCAAAATCACTTGCACGAAGCCTGAGCGAACGCCACCCTGCGTCCAAGCCTAGTACTGGTACCAGCTACTTGATAAGCTTACTGTAGCTTACTCGTTTACTACCCGACTACCTGCCCAACTCCCCCCGGCAGGCCATGTATAAATAAACCTACTCCGCATGAACCAACCGAGTCGATCTGCCAGACTCGTGTGCGTTTAGAAATTGTTTGTGTGCGTTGGTGGTTAGAAAAGGGATGAACATGGCGAAAGGCCAGGATTAAGCTTTGCCAATTCTTCAAGGGCTGGGATAGACCGTGAAGGAAATCGATTGGATGGAACCAATCATGAAATCGTAAACAGCAGCACCCTTTGTGGATGCCTTTCAGCACCAGCTTGTTGGACTTTGGACCGAACTGTCAGGGCACCACCTGGATGTTGAGACGAAGATGCTGCGCACCCGCGCCCAACAGGCACTGCCTTTCCCAACATGCAAGGGGTGAGATACGAATTAAGAATACATCGTGAGGAAGGATTCTTATTCACGTTGCTAGTGCCGCATTAAGCAGTTCACCAATTCCTAAGCCAGATTCTTGAAGCATTGCAAAGCAACTGTGCGAGGGCCGAATATACGGCCCTCTGGCCTCACTTTTGCTGTTAGATGGCCAATCACTTAGTCGATCCAACCGTCGGGGGTTGGGTCAATAGCTGTGACTGTGAACCTGTCCAAACCTTTTTGCAGGTGAGAGAACGAGTTGCCAATGAGATTACATAGTTGGTCACAGGCGACTGCAGCCTAGAGTCTTTGAAAACCATCGCTCTTTTTTTTGTGCTGCCGTTTCACCAAAAGAGCGAGCTTGAACAACGAGCTCGAAGTCGAAGACGTAGAATAAATTTGAGAAAAGTCAACTTGCTGCCGTGGACAGATGTAGGTTTAATTTTGAAAGCATCTCATGGGCTTGTCATGTATTCCGACTCACTGGAAGCGATCCATAGCCGAGTTCCCATGATGCTCATGGTTTAGAGCTTCTGGGGACGTTTGAAGGCAACCAACAAGCACTTGATTGAACCGTTTAATATCCTGTAAATGTCCTAATCCTATTGGTATTGGTTTTGAGACCACTGTTGTTGGACCCACGAAGTCAGCTTCCTCCTACTTTCAGGGGCTACAGAATGTATCTTGTAGATCCTTTAGATCAGAGCCAATGTAGAGCCTCTGCTTGATCTTTGGGCCCTAGGCGGCTGAATATCGGCTGCACCTAAGCTCCGACTTATTCAGAGTGTGGCTTGATCCAGGTAGATAAGACTAAGCCACAATGCAGGGGCATAAGACTATAAGCCACAGTGTGATTGTTTTTCACGTGTTTTTCTAATGTTTGCCTAAACTTTGGCGTCGCTGCGTTGTCCTTTCTTCCCATGGATTCACCCAGCAAGGAGTCCCCTCGCAAGAGCCCGGACACGCTGCCCATCAGCAGCTTCCGTGGCCCGGAGGTGAATGTGCCGTGGAGTGAACGGGCGGAGCTGACGTTGGAGCAGAAATTGGAGGATGCCGCCCAGCGACTCCAAGTCGCACAGGAGGAGCTCCAGCAGCAGGAACAGCACGTGGGCTCCGGAAGGTATCCGCTTCTTGGCACCATTTTGAGCAAGGTGTAAATTTGATTCGTATGTTTTGAGATTGGTTTTGATAAATACAATGCAGCCAATTGAAAGTCAGCATCCGAAGCTGCATGGAAGCCTTCAAGATCCCGTTGCGTGAGGTTGACATTGAAGACCCGCAAGCAAGAGCCCGACTTTGCTTCTCGTGCAGCGGATGCACAGAGGATGCTTCGCATACAGAGGGATCCTCGCTTTCTGGAGTTGCAAGAAGCTTTAAATGCACAGACAGCAGAAGTGCAGAAACCCGAAAAAAAGAGTTTCATGGGAACTCGAGAGACCAAAGAGTCTTGGAAGCAACAACTGTCGGATGGACTTCGGAAGTTGATCCAAACTGTGAACATGAGCCTCGATCCGAGCATGGCTGAAAAGCAGCTGGAGAATGTTTACAGGTGGTATGTGGCATCACGACCAGGGTTCTCAGGAGCTCCCTGCCAAGCAGGTGATGCTCCGAGTCCTGGTCGTCCGGCAGAGATGGGTTTCTACAACTTCTGTGCAGACGAAGTCTTGCGGCATCCTGCTCCACCGGGATCGGCCTATTTTACCAAAGAGGATCATGAAGGTGATTTGATGACCTCTCAATCTGTGGAGCGTGTGGAGGATTTCGAGGGGGGTGGGCTGGGTTTCTCAGAAACACCAACTAAACTAGAACTGATCAGACCTTAGAACCAATTTGACTTTTAGCAACTTGCTGTCTTTTGCAAGTGATCACACACATTTAATTTGCAATTCAAATTGTTTGGCAATTTAGCCCACGAGTCGCTTTACCCCTGGGGGCGTTCTGGTCAATCCGTCGAATCCCAGGAGGCCGACACTGTCAAGATGCTTGCAGGACGTCCCATGGCTGAGGCTCGCGGCGATGGCTCATGACGTGTTTAGGACGTGTTGCAAAATCCTCTGACTGTGCCGAAGATGGGTGTTGTAATGGACAGACACATGTGATGAGAAGTTTGGAGTTGCTACCCATGCACAGCACCACTGATGGACGTGGAGGGCCAAACATTGCACCGCATACTTAAACTTAAAGTGTTTTTGTCATAACTTGCGTTGCGACCCTCTCGCCGCAGGAGAAACGCTCGAAAGTTCCCAACTCGAACTCGGAGTCGAACAACTGGACTTTAACCTTAGGTTGCTCCATGTGGCTCCTGACATTTCGCCTCTCGTATCCTTTTCTTGCATGCAGGCTCGTTTGGCCTCGCCTAAGGAACGCCTCAAGGTGCGGGGAGGGCCCAGGTCTGAAAGATCCTGAGTCATGTCGTGCGTGAAGACGCGCAGCTTTCACCCCAAGAGTTGTGTCCAAGATGTTTCAATCCCTGTTCACAATGAACAGCTTCAAGGCAAAATCGCTTCACTCGGCCTTGCATTGTTGAATTCGAAGGGCTGCTTGGAGGGTTGAGAAACGACCATGCTGCAGGATTTCAGCACTAGAGCCATCGTTCGGCCTTTGACGGCAAGGAAACTGAAGGACAAGGGGCAGCGCGTAGATGATGAGTTGTAGGAGTTTTAGCCAGAAAAATATGTATGAGCCAGAAAATCTATGAAGATGGATGAAGATCTATGCAGATCTGTGAGTCCATGACCTTCTACGTGTTTCCGCCCACTTTCAGACCCCGTGTGGCGACATGTGCAACTCGTGGGGCTGTGCACTCTTATTATCTCTTATTCAGTATTCACATGCAGTTGATACACATGTAAATTGGGACCAGAATCAGAATGAGAAGTGCGCGTTCTCTTTTTTGAAGAAATGCATCTATGGTCAGGAAAAAGCTTGGAGCTTGAGATCATTCTCTTGTTAAACTTCTGCCATTGCAGTCTGCAGAAGTTTAACTCTATTGTTTGAGCCTTTCCAGTCGCATCCAGTCGCTTTTGAACCACAGCCTTTGTGGCTCTTGGCCAACTACCCCTGGGTTCCCCTGGTAGTTCAAGCAAGATCGTTACTGACAAGAAAACTTTCTTTACTATCTCGTATTACTGTGCTCCCCTCACGCCTTTGGACATTATTTTACTAACAGCAAGTATGACTTGACTTACTTGACTCTACGCCCGACCGACTTGACTCAGAGTCCCTTCCTCCGTGCCGTTTTGGAAGGACTTGGCTGGTGAAAGGCCAGAAGAGCCCAACCGCCCACTCACGCCCTCAACGACCGAAGGAGGCAAAGCTCCAGTATGGTGTGGAAATCATATGATCATTCAGCAGGTTTAACAAGATGTTGTACTCTGTAATCTGCAGTCATTCTTTTTGCGGCCCCGCAACTTGTGGTGGTATGTTTTCTTGTGAACATGGTCTTGCGGCAACTTGACAGCCTTTTGGATACTGAAAGCCACACGGATATCCGATATCCACTTGCTTGATGCACCCAACCCTTCGCATCTATGCGCCGACATTATTTCTGAATGAAGCAGCATCAGCAGTTTGGTGGGTTTGCCCACAGCGCAGGCTTTACAGCACGTTCACTGGCTGCAGCCTCAACTCTTCAGCCTATCACGGGTTGGTGGGAGCAAGCCGCTGCAAAAATCATCAAAATCCAGATGTGGACATCCACTGCATGCGGCACATATTTGCTAATATAATTTATATAGTATCAACAAACAGATGATCCGATCAAATCCGATCCAACCTTTCACCTCCAAGGTGTCAGCAAGGTCGACCGCTGTTGCTGGAGGCGAACAACCAGACACAACTGGGCGCAGAAAGTAGGATTGCATGGATTGTTTAATGTTCCTTGTTGATCTTGGTGTGAGAAGTTGTCAGGGACAGATTGGACAGAGTGGCTAGACTTAAACATCACCACTCGCCACCCTCCGCACAGTTTCACGACCCACCTCGGCGATGAGCATGGTCTCAACCTCGGGATTTGTGCTGCAGTTTTGAGTTGTTCCTAAATCAAAATAATCAAAGATCCCAAGCGGAATCGGAATTTGTTAGGGTTAAGCTTTGTGCTGCAGTTTTGAGTTGTTCCAAAATCAAAGATCCCAAGCGGAATTGTTAGGGTTAAGCGCTCAGGATGGCTCAGGCATAAGGGGTGCAACTCCACAGCTCTGGTTGACTGCAGGGTCATGCAGTCAACGAGAGTTATGGAGTTGCACGTTGGAGCTGTTTTACTTCTCCTTCTGGTACTTGTAGAATTGTCATGTATTTTTGTTTTGGGCAGAACATGAACAAGCCAAACCCTTTTCATGCTCATCAACGGGGAAGATAGAAGCCAGTAGTGGCACCCTTGCGAAGGAGTAAAACAAAAAGGCACCCTCGGGCGAGAGCACACTGTCCAAGCATGTCTTCACTAGACCTGGACAAAATCAAGGAGAAATACAAGACATATCAAATCACTGAGCAATGAGCAAGGAGGATACTGTATTTTTGCTGAATGATTGTGACGCTGGAAGGATCAGTGTGAAGATCAGAGAAGAGAGGCTCTCATAGAATGTTAGCACATGACTCATGACATGTTCCCACAAGAGATCACAACAGCATGTCGGAAGACCTCGGATGTATTTCCAGCCGCCATTCCTCCGCTTCGTCGGATAGACCATTCGACTGTTTGATTTTCTATGACCCTCCCAGCATCCTGAGATCGAAGGGTCAAAGTGCCAAGGCTCAGAGCGCTGTAAGTCGTGGTGTTGGGGGGCTCAGGGGGGGAAGCACAAGACCACAGGCCATCAGAAACAGTGGGAAAAGGACGTTTGCAGAATGAAGATCATGGAACAAAGCATGACATCCAAGTTCTCAACTATGAGTGTGCTCTTAAACCCGATGCAGAAAAACACAAGACTTTATACTGTTTATACTCTTCAGGCCACGCCGACCCCACGGAGTGTGGCTCGCCGGTTCTGAACTTAGAAAAGTGCGGGGCAAGGACTTTCAGACATTTTTGCAAACATTCAGCTCCATTCGTGCGACTGGATTTCCATGTCGTCTTGGGCACAGCCATGTTTGGTTCTGTATCATCATCGAGTCCATAATGTTCATCGCATTTTTTGAAAGAGGTGTTCTTCACACAACGTACATTGAATGTGGCTGCTTGGGTGTCTTCTGCTGATTCGTATCCTCTCAGTTCAGTTGGTCTTCCATGTTCATTCAAATGGTTGGAACTTGGAAGAGGTCTTTTCAATCATGCAGACTTTCAGAATTCACAGACAAGCAGATACTTAAAGCCAAGGGATGCTGAGGAAAGAAGCCCCAAGGGGGCTTGCCTTGGCTTGTGTGTTTGTACCATGTATTTTCAATGTACACATGTATATATATAATATATGTAAATATATATATAACTATAATATATATATATATATTAAACCACACATAATCTTCTTTTGAGGTACTAATAGCAATGGCTTCCAACCTAAATACAGTACCAATGACCTCCAACCTACTAGCGACGGCCTCCACATATATATATATATATGTACACACACACACTCCAAAAGGTCTCACATGATCGGACCCCAGAAATAAGTGTGCGCCTTCAGGCCTCAGTCAGCAGCTTCTGTGGATTCTGTGGACTTGGTCTCAGATCTCTTTCAGAGAGGAGTAGAAGCTGTGATGGCTGCCCCATGAACAACATGAAGCAACACATTCATTCATGAAAGACGATGAACGATGAGGCCTTGAATTCTGTAGATTCAGTTCATGCCTTCAGAAGTGGCCGGTCATAGAGTCATAGAGCTCTGACTGGATGTCAAAACGATGGACACTCTTCAGTGCACCTGAACGCTCAAGAAGCCCAGACCTGGCAGGCTTCACACACCTTCATCCACTTTCGTGTATGCTTGTCCCTTTGTCCCTTCCTGTCGTCGCATCGCAGTGGGTTTCTTAAGGTTCCTCCTCTCCCGCAGACTGTGGAAGAGCTCGGGCCTCGGGAGCGGCCACGACTGTGGAAGGTCCTACTAGGTGCTTTTGGTTAAGCCGAGGGCAGCATAAAAGGATATATACTATACTGTATAAGAAAAGGCTGCAGGCTTAATTGGCTTCATTCAATTCATTCCTCGGGATTGACAAGACTTCATGGGAACATAGTGTACAACCATCTAGGGGCTGTTCTTCAGGCCTTGACACGAAAGGGACAGAGCGTATTTGATTTGAAACCATGGCCACATCGCAGTGAAGATCCAAACTGCTCCGCAAGATGGAGTTGGATCAGAGTTGGTAAAATACTTCAACACATAATGTCACCAATAGTTTCAGTCAATAGTGAGAGGAAGGCTGAAGGCCAGGTGGTGTGAAATCACTTGACCCAACCTTGGAAGGAGGCATTTGAGCTCTCGATGAAAATTCTAGATGTGTCCAAGGAACACCAACCCTGCTCCGGAAGAGTGTCCGAGGCCTAGTGAAAGTGGAACACACCCAGCCTCAAATTGAATGCCCAAAATGGAAGCTCATAGGTCGTGCTGGTGCTTGCAAGGGATGAGTGTAGAGTCATCGGAGAGTGTGTTACCGTTTCCTTGCTGACTAAGATACATTGCCATATCCTGGCACTGAAGCGGAGTGGAATATGGAAAGGCGAGGTTGTTTGTGGGTGGATTTGGTGATGATGGGGCAAGCGAGTATTTGCAAACGGACTCCCAGCTGCTTCAAGCAAGACAGTCGTGAGGCGTTGGATGCTCAGAAGAAATCGGGCCATCACTGACAAGGCTTGACATTGCCAAGTCAGCTGCAGAACCAAACCTGTTGCCACGGAAATCCAACGAGACTGATTGGAGGAAAACCTGAAGCAGCATCTTGAAGCAACATCCTGAAAACGGAGCGGAACTCAACGACTCGTGCCTGTCACCAGGTGATGGGGCAAGAGAGGAACTCAGCACTTCGTGCATGGGCCGAACGCCGATGCCTGAAATTGGTCGAACATGATTGAACATGCGCTGTATTCCAAAGTCTTAAGTTTCAACAAACCACGCGCAGAATCAAGACAACAAAGGCCCTGAAGCTCTTTCACCTAGGCCGCGCACGAGTTGAAGAAGAGATCAGCCGGACAGCGGAGGCACGACATGGCAAGACATGTCCTTTTTGTTGGAAGTATTCTTTGTTTTGCATTAAGTTCCCTAAAAATCTAGGAACCAAATCATTTGTGGGAGCGCTTCGGGCGGCGGGGGAAGAAGCGTGGGCTATCCTGCGTCCCATAGCGCCGTAGGTAGCAGGTAGCTTAAGTGTCTAGCAGCATCTAGTAGCTTACCTTCTTACTTAATTAAGTAGGCGCCTACTTAGTCAAGTAGGATCGGGTAAAAAAAGAGAGTTTAAAATGTCCACTCAACTGATGAGAGTCTGTGAGAGTGACAGGCTACTCGTTTTCAATGTGCCTGGACCTCATGTTGCGTTTTCACATGTTTGCGCAAGTAGGCAGCATGGTTGGGACGGCCGATTGCCTTGCATTTTAGGCCTTGAAAGATAGAAGGTATATTGAGCCTCCAGACGCTGAGGAGGCAAGGATAATCAAGTACAGTATAGTATGTTTCAGCAAATACGGTTCAATTTGTGTCCTTGAATGGATGGTGTCTAGCACAATCAGAAGAAATTTGAACGTTTCTGTGTCATCTTCTTTGTGCCTGGTTCCTTCCTATTCTTCAACCTTGATTCATTTTGACAGGACATTGAAGCAACAGTTACCTGCGAGGACACCATGTTTAGAGTGCCCGACAATCACTGCGAGAATCATTTGGAATGACAAATATGATTCGCTCTTAGCATCACTCAGAACATAGGCTCAGAACACACACACAGACAACTACACATGCAACACTGGAGGTTTTTTTTCCATTGCTTGTGGTATGTTCTTCACTCAAAGTTTCAATTGCTTGCTCGTCACAGGGAGAGGCAAGGCAAGCCACTGATGCCAGAGAAGACTTGCGAACCCTACTACCGCCTCTGGCATATCTGGAGGAAAGAAGGCATGCAATGCAAGAGGAAGGAAGCTCCAAGGCATACAAGTGTGAGCCCGGCAATGCAAGCGGATGAGCATCCCGAATCCCACATATGTCCCATAGCAGGCAGCAGACTAAGCAGATCAAACAAAGGAAGCACCCATAGAGTGCATAGGAGGTGAGGAACCCACAGCTTGCCCTGAGGGACAAGGAGCAAACGACCAGCAAGCTCTAAATGCCCACCACACTGTCCTTAGACTTCACCCAACCACCTTTTGTGGAGTCTTAATGTTTCTATTTCTTTACCAGCTTGACGATGGAAATCCATGTGCTCTTCTATAAGGCAATCAATTGGATGTTCCAAGCGCAGGGCCCCCTCCCATGAAATGAGGACATGGCGGTAACTTAGTAGCTGTAGCATTTGAGCCGTTCGAATCGTGCATCGTGTGGTGCCCACCAGAAAATGTGATTTCTATGTTGAAAGTGTGCGCTTTAGTCGACTGAAAGCATGATGTTCCAAGTGACTCTTTGTAGGGAGGGATGAGACTGCAGAACCAAATGATTAGTGTGAGCACTTCTTCAAGGAAGCTCCCCTCCGCCCTCAGACGGGGAGCTTCCTCGAAGAAGCGTGAGCTCTCCTGCATTCTAGCTAGGAGCGTCCAGCACCTAATTGCTACTAACCCCTATCAGCGCCACCCCATCCCCGGACAAACATCAACTTACAAAAAAAAATACATTTGGAATTTGGCCGAATGAGATGGTAGATAGGCCCTGTGGACCCTTCCAGGACGAAAGCAGCAGTCGACCTTCTCACACACCAGCTGTGCGCAGGCACGGGATCAAACTCCACTCTGTTGCAAGGATTTGTTGTATCTGTATTAACACCATATTATATATATATATATAATGAGCCACAGTCAAAATCATAGCGTTAAGGTTTTATATAAAATTGATCATTTTGGTGAGATCTTGCAGAATCTTGCACATTCCTTGGAAAACGAAGACGGAAAACCAAAAACGACGCCTCTTGGTGGGATGTTAAACGAAGCCCCAAACGAAGCCAAAATCCATGAAAACGTGTCCTTTGTAGACCCTGCCCCAAATGCCATACTGTAAGAAGTTCCTTTGCTGTACTGGTAGGCTTCTTTTTCAAGAAGTTCCTTTGCTTTACTTCACATTGTAAAGGTCTAGTGGTAATATAACTCATCTGGTGAACAAACTGTATTTTCACTCCATGTAATATGTACACTTTGTACCTTGCACATAGTAGGATGTCATGTCACCTTGACTTTGCAGCTCGCGGCCCAAAACAGGAGTTGCAGCTTAACGGCTGTTTCTATAGGTTATCAGCCGTAGTGCTCTAACCACAGCCATGGACGCTCTTGCTATTCCTGGGAACGGTACATCATCGGTAGCAGTCCCAGCCGGTCTCATGACTGAGCCCACGGTGGATCTAGATGACCCCATGGGTTCAGCTCCTGTCACAGCTTACTTTCAGTTTGTGCAGCAAAACATTCAACAAGTGTACAACGGAAATGAAGATGCTATCATTGCTGAGGCAGAGAGAAGGCACAAAGAGATAATGGGACAATGGTTGGAAATGGTAAAAACCAAGTTTCGTCAAGCAATCGATGAAGTAGCGAGCAAGCATCATGAGGAACTCAGTTCGGTAAGGCAGCAAGCTCAATCTAGCTACAACCAAGTGCAAGGGGAACTTAGCGCTGCAAAAGCGCGGATCCTAAAGCTAGAGAGTGAAAGGTCCATTGAGGCTGAAGCCAGAAAAGCAGAACTGGACTCCTTGCGCATCCAGCTCATGCACGATTGTCAGCAAACTGTCACTGCCATCACCAGCGGTGCCGAGCAAGGTGTGGCAACGCTTCGTGCAGAGTTTGATGAGCGGGAAACTCAGCTTCGACGTGAGCTACGCGATGCAGAAAATGAAAACTATAGCCTGCAGCAAATGCTCGATGACCTTAAAGCCAAAATGCATGCTGGACCCGAGCTAGAGTACCATCCAACAAGTGTCATGAACACACCAGTGTCTACTCCTAGGCATGATGACACTAAGAGGAAAAATCCTCTGGAGACCATTGCAGCAGAGGCTACAGCACGTTTGAGTGGACTGTTCGCACCCAAAGCGCCGACGGCCACCATCATCGGTGATGCCCCACCAGGGGCAGCTGCTCCTATCAAGCCTGTGCTTCCAGTTTACGGAGGCACAGCAGCGGATGGGGGCAAAACACCAACAAATATGTTCCATAGCCCTGCACCTTCAATTCGCGAACCCCATAAGCCAGCGTCATCAGGTGCCATCACCTCTGAGCAGGTGATCGAATTGGTCAAGTCACTCACTCAAAGAGAGTCAGATGAGAAGCCAAAGGTAAAGGAGGCAGATCACATCAAGTTGAATGACATGCCAACCCCTGAAACCTATCGGCAGTGGAAACATCATGTGAGGGACGAAATCAAGTCATGTTCTGACAAACCAGATGCCGCCTGGGACTGGTTAATGGAGGTTTACAACACTGTCGATGAGAGAAAAGTTCTGGAAGAGCGGTTGTCTAACCCTGGGAAGTTCACAACGTTGGATACCAAGTTGGCAGCTGCGCTGACCAGAAGTGCAAAGGGTGATCTAGCAAACCGGATCATCAATTACAAAGAAGAGAAGGCAAAGCTAGGCATCCAGGTTCGAGGAAGGATGATTCTTCTCATGTTCGATGACTATTTCAAGACCTCGGAAGAAGCGGGTAGCCTCTATAGGGTTGAAGATCTTCTCAATGTGGTAAAGGTAGGCGACACGGTAGCGGACTTGAAGCGTTTCATCAACCGCTGGGACGCTACCATCGCTGGTATGCCCGAACCACCGCATGAAAACGTGCTCCGAGACATCCTTTTAAGGCAGACCCGCACCAGCACAATCCTGAGGTACGACATTGATCTCTTCGATCGTGCAAAAGAAGGAGACCACCATCGGTCTTACAAGTTCCTACTGCAAAGCATCAAGGATCTGATCGATCGGGAACGCCTTCGTGAAAATCGATCACGTATCGCGGAGCGAAATCGGCTCAAGCCAGGTGATCGACACGAGAAGAACGCAGCCCCTACTGTTGATCCTCGGCGAAAGCGTTCGCCATCGCGCGGACGATCCGCTTCACGGGAGAAGGGTATTTGTTGGGCCTTTTTGGAGGGAAAGTGTGCAAAAGGGAAAGATTGCAAGTTCAAGCATGAAAAGCCCAAGCGTGATCCTTCCAAGAAGCGCCAACCATCCCGGGAGCGGAATGAGTCGAGGGACAAAAGCACAGATAAGGAGAAGAAGCGAATGACTAAGGAAGAGATGGCGAAGACCCCGTGCAGGTACGATCAACAAGGTACTTGCAGAAGAGGAGACAAGTGCTTTTTCAAACACGGAGAAAAGGCAGCACCGGCTCCGAAAACGAAGCCTAGAAAGGACTCCCCAAAGCCAAAGGCAAAAGGAGATACCAAGAAGGCTGCCATTTGCCTGAGCAATCGGTTTGCATGTCTTGCGACTGGTGTGCCCGGACGGTCATGTCTCAAGAAGTCCTGTCTTCCTCCAGCAAGAAAGAGGTCTAAGTCGTCTGCCCGAAGAACCACATTCGTTATGAAACCTGAAATTCGCACAATCCCTGCTCGCGGGGAACACTGCAAGATGGTCAAGCGTGAGCGCAAGTACAGTGTGCATTTTGCCACGAGCGATCGCGTGCCCAAGAGCGACCCAAAGGCAGCCCACATGGCCAAAGTAAAAGCTAGGCAGTTGGCTGAAGTTGTCCGAAGCTTTGATAGCGCAACAGTGCCCTCATGTCGTTTCACGTGCACCGAATCGTCGCTTACTTGTCGTGAGTGTCGAGGCTTGATCAAGTTGAAAACGTGTCCTACTACCATCCCAACTGTAGTTGCTGGTCCAGCACCAAGGGAAGGCAGGTTCTCATGGCTCGTCGATTCTGGGAGTGAGCAGGACCTCCTCAGCAGAAAAGTCATGGATGCTGCTGGTGCGGAGAACCCAAGACGGGCTCCTCACACCATCAGTCTGATTACTGCAAATGGGTCGACCGAAGCCAGCGAGGTAGCTGATGTCAAGATGAAGCAGCTACTTGAGCCTTGCACGCCGTATTTGCTGGATGAATGCCCTGCTGTGCTCTCAGTTGGCATCAAATGCCTTGACCAAGGGTATAGTTTCGTGTGGCCAGCAAACGGTACACCAATCCTGGTGCGACCAGATGAGAAAATCGTTCAACTTCGCGTTGACGGTCATGTCCCAGTCCTCGACTCCGAGTGCAAAGTCTTCGGGAAGGGCAAGTTCAAGAAGGACAAGCCTCTGAAGAAGCTGTTTGCAATGCCGGGAGCAATCTCGAGCCCGTCGGATAAGAAAGAGGATGAGGGCATCGACGAGGAAGTGCCAGACGACGAAGAGAGCCGTTTGGTGCGATCAAGAAAAGTCGGAGACTTGATGCGTGAAGCACAGTCCGCAAAACACCAGTATATCACCACTTCCCCAAGAACCCATTCTGCAAAGTGTGCCAGCGAGCAAGGATGCTTGCACCACAGGCACGAAAGAAAGGGGGTGAGAGCCGCATTCAGACTAAGGCCTTCGGTGATCATCTGATCGCTGACCACGTCGTCGTGCGCGCGAACATCGAAGAAGGGAGTCGTGGCGAACGGGTAGCTTTGGTTGTGAAAGACCTGCGTACAAAGTTCCGGAGTATTTACCCATCCCAGTCAAAGAGTTCGGATGAGGTAGTGATTGCTCTTCAGCATTTTGTTGCCCCGGATGATGCAGTCGAGGTCATTTACACCGACAATTCCCGTGAGCTGATAGCTGGCATCAAGGAGTTAGGGTATCGCCACCAAACCTCCGTTGAGTACGTGGACTCCTCCAAGAGCTTCATTGAAAGGGAAGTTAGGAACATGCTTGAGGGAGCACGCACCAATCTTGTTCAGTCCGGAATGCCCCTCCAGTACTGGCCACTCGCCATTCAACATTTTGCAATGGCAACAAATACGAGTGATCAGCTGGACTCATTTCCAAGCCCATGGGAACTGCGTTTTGGAGAAATGTTCGAAGGCATGGCCATTCCGTTTGGTGCAAAAGTCCTATTCTGGAACAACCCCAATCGAGCCGACAATACAGCAGGAAAGCTGTCGCCCACTTCGGTGGAAGGTGTGTTTCTTGGTTATCATGTACAGCCAGGACACAAGTGGCGCGGGGAGTACCTAGTTGCTAAGTTGGAAGCACTAGACTACCATGTTGAACACAACAGTTTGACGATCCAGAGGACAAAGAAAATTGAGCTCCTTCCAGGCGGTTTTAGTTTTCCATTGCGTGTCAAACAAGATCGTAAGGAAGCTATCCCTGATGACCCAAAGCTCAACCTTATCGAGTCTCCCAATCCGATTCCACTTGCGGATGCTGACCTTGCAGAGTACACTCCATCCGAAGCCCCAGAAGGTGTACTTGAACAGGGGGGTGTGGAACCCGAAATTGAAGTCACGGCAGCTGACAAAGCCGAGGACTACAAGCCCGACACTACGCCGGCCGGGGTCCCTATTCCTGAAGGTTACCATCGGGATGGTCTTCGAGTGGTGAAGACGTACAAAGGCAGCAAACGCCCCAAGGACATTCCATCGGATTATTGGAAAACGCTCGGCCCAAAAGATCGAGCAAAGTTGCTGAAAGAAATGGACGAAGCAAAGTCATCCTCCAGCAAAGGTTCAAAGACCACAAGTCCAGCGACTTCTTCTCAGCTCGGTTCATGCCGAAGCCCTTGTGTTACGGACACAAGTACCAGCTGGGAAGCCGTGCCCACACCACAGAT